CTCCTCCTCCTCCTCCTCCTCTGCTTCCTCCTCCATCCTCCCCCTCTTGGGGTATGATACTGTTTGGGCACGCGGGCTCGCGACAAGTCGAAAGCCGTGCATGACGAGCGGGCTACGCGCCGACAGAGGGAAAACACAGCGAACAAAGGCCGCATCAGAAGCCCCGCTGAGCTCATCGCGGCCAAGATGGCGCGGATCCAGGACACGGTGACGACCTCCCCAAGCACAGACAGAACGTCGGCACACCCAACTGGCACACCCAACGTCGGCACACCCAAGAAGTCGGATCGGGCATCGGAAGGGGGTGGGAATCGGATCGGATCGGCTGCGCCAGGATGCACAGCAGCTGCATGCAAACACCGGGGCGCAGCGGATCGTCGGAACATCGGAGTCGACTCGGGCCGAGCCGGCGGCTCGGTATCGCATCGGGCCCGTCGGAGCGGAGCAGGCCCCGGGTGGCGGGCGGAGGGCTGCTGCCCCAGCGTGCGTAGGCTGGCCGACAACCTCGGCGGACCTCTGCCGCACTTTTGGGGTGCTGGGGTCGGCGGCATTGGGGGAGCACGCCAGTGGCGGCCAGACCCGAGGACCTGGATGGGGCCGGAGGTCACGCGCTTCCCCCCGGCTCGCCCCTCAGAGAGATCGCCGGAGGAGGAGCAGGAGGAGGGGGAGGAGGAGGAGGAGGAGAGATGGGAGAGTGCGGAGGGCTGTAGTCGTAGATGAAGGGTAGTAGTTCGGAGGATTGATTAGGCAAGGATTACCCAGGATTACCCAAACCAGACGCAGTGGAAGGAGGATGGTGAGTGAAGGGATGTAGGTTAGGAGGAGATTGGGGGGAGACGTGGGAGGATGATGTTGATGATGTGGAGGGTTGGTGGTGAGGAGGGGGAGGAGGCGATGGGAGGAGGAAGCAGATGATGCATTAGTCTTAGTACGAGGATGTCGGATGAGGCATCTTGCAGAGGATGGTCGGAGTAGTACAGGGTAGGGGAGAGAGGAGGGAGGAGGAAGAGGAGGAGGAGGAGGAGGAGGAGGAGGAAAGGTCCCGCGCGAATGCAGTCGAACCACATGGCCACTAAAACGCGCGTCGAGCACGGGAGCTTCCTTCGCTGGAGGAGGGCGGCGGCCCCATAGAGGCTGCCAGACTGGGGTCCGTCTTAGGTGGGCCTGTCCCCCTACAGGGGGATTTTGGACGAAAAACAAACGATACCCCAAAAAAGGCGCAAAAGATGCCCAAATATACTCAAGAAATAGCCCCCAGACTACGTTTGACTATTTTTGAATATCCCCCCTGTAGAGGGACAGGCCCGACTGAAGGTTAGTCTTAGGTCGGATGCGCAAAAGATGGCCAAAAATACTCAAGAAATAGTCCCCAGACTATTTTTGACTATTCTTGGATATCCCCCCTGTAGAGGGACAGGCCCGACTGAAGGTTAGTCTTGACCCTCGCGCCAGCTGTGCACCCAGAACTCCGACGGCGTGCTGACTTTCGCAACGCGGACCCTGTGTGTGTGTGTGAACCTTTTCCTTGGGACCGACTTGTCATCCCGAGCTGTTTTTAGGCGGCCCCAGGGCCTGGTAAGGGCCCCCAGAGACGAAAGCCAGGGAGACATCAAAGAGCAACAAAAACAACAAGCATCCCGTCGCGATTTTTCGCGACGCGTCGAGGGAAGGTGGGGGCACGTCCAGCAGTCATGAAGCGTGAGTTCAGCCGGGCCGGGAACCCCACTTTCACTGTTCGGAGCGGACGCCTCTAGAGGACCGTGCTGGCCGCCACGGCGTCAACCTCCACCTCGCTTCGGGCAGGGCCGCCGGCGAGGGACGGCGCAGAAGCGCACCAGGAATCGGCAGGCCCCCCCTCCCCCTGCCAGGAAGCCGGAAGCGCGCACGGCTGGATCCACCCAATGGGGCATCCGAAGGCCGCACGCTGGATGCACACGCAGGCGCCCGGCCGCCCGGCCACTGAGGGTCGAGCGCTGGAAAGACACCTGGCCCCACGTGTATCCAGCTCCTCCTCCTCCTCCTCCTCCTCCTCCTCCTCCTCCTCCTCCGCCTCCTCCTCTTCCTCCTCCTCCTCTCCCTCCTCCTCTCCTCCTCCTCTCCTCCTCCCCTCCGCCTCCCTCCTCCTCCTCCTCCTCCTCCTCCTCCTCCTCCCTCCTCCATCTTATCCAATCCTCCCCCTCCTCCGCCTCCCTCCTCCTCCTCCTCCTCCTCCTCCTCTCCTTGCTCTAGGACTCCTCCGTTCCTACGCCTATTCCTCTCCTCCTCCGTCCTCCTCCCTCCTCCTTTCCTCCTCCTCTCCTCCTCCTCGCTCTCCCGCCGCCTCCTCCTCCTCCTCCTCCTCCTCAACATCCTGGCCCGCCGTCCTAGGGTGGCCACTGCATGGGGGAACCGGGCCCCAGGCAGGGCAGCACGCAACACGACCACGACCACGACCAGCCCCGTGCTCAAGAGGCGCACCGTCGGCGTGCCTCGCCTCCGCTGCCATCGGGGGCGCCGCCGTGGCCCGCGGCGCGTGCTGCTCTGCCGAAGACTCTTGCCCGCAAGGGAGGAGGAGGAGGAGGAGAAGAGGAGGAAAAGGACAACGACGACGACGATGACCTGTGTAACCACTTCTGCCTGGCTGGGTCACCTGACTTGGCGCGTCGCGCCCCGCGATGCGCCGCGCGCGAGATCCGGAGCACGACTAGTTTTGCGCCCCTGGGGGTGGCCTCCT